GGATTTTGTTGGGGGTGTCATCCCCTCCTGTGCTGGCACCCGGGGCGGTCCGCCCCCACCAGCTACGCCACTGGTTGTGTGGCAATATATATATATATATATATTTATATGGAAATTATTTTCAGGTAGAGTGTATCTGTAAAGAAATAAAATGAATAAAAAGACAAGGAAAAACTATTCTTTACCAATGTGTTTTGTTCTCTGAGTAACTTTATCAAGGCAAATGTAGGATTTATTTTGTTGCACATGTTTATATACAGAAGCAAGCATGTCATTGGTGTATCAAGTTTTTTTAAATTTGAGAACATTCATGAATATTCATTAGGTGGTTGAAAGGTCATTCAGTAATTGTGGAGGACACAGTACCATACGTCAAAGTCTGACATGGCAAAAGTAAGTAATATTCCAGAAATATTTTCAACAACCTGATGAATATTCATGAACGTTCTCCAATTTAAAAAAAGCCTTGATAAACCAATGACATCCTTAGTTTTTCTATACAAATATGCATGTCCAACAAAATAAATCCTACATTTGCCTTTTCAAAGTAAAAGGATAAAATAAAATCAACTAATAATAATTTGTTGTTTTTTATTCATATATTTATATGTTTGTAATTGGATAGATGTAAACGTATCTTTTTTGGTTTTATATTTAATCCATTTTTATTCATATATATATATATATATATATATATATATATATATATATATATATATATATATATATATATATATATATATATATATATATATATATATATATATATATATATATATATATAGCATATATATATATATATATATGAGGAGCAGTGGATAGCAGTGGATTGAGGAATTTATTTTTTCCGAGTTCGAATTCCAGTCGAATCCATTACATTCACTTACGTGCTAATACCCTTGGGAAAGGTATGTATCCTCTTCATCTCCCTCCAGGACAGACTGGGTTCTATAGCCTTGGATGGCAACTGGTCTAGGAGAAGGACAACTCTGAATTCAAAACCTGCGGAGGGTCGTTTGGGAACCTTGTGGCATGCATTCGTGCACCAGGTTTCTGTATTCGTCCCCTTTCAAAAAGTGTGGCTGGTCCTGCACGAGGCCTTCACCACTATAATCAAATCTCATGTGCCGGTGTCGGGATGTCGGTTTCCTGGGAACTTATCGGCCCTGACCCTCATAAATCGAACATCAACAGGAGAAATCGATTATATATATATATATATATATATATATATATTCATACACGTTCATTAAATAAATAAATACACACAATATATATATATATATATATATATATAATTCCCTGCACCCCAAACAAATTTGGTTCAATGGAGTCCTGGAGGATGAAGTGTGTCTCAATATTGTTCTTGATATATAGAAATATATAGTGTTGTCTCACATATATATATATATAAATATATATATATATATATATATATATATATATATATATATATATATATATATATATATATATAAAATGTGATGGATTTTTTATTTATTAATCTGACAGATTTTATTAATTACCGTAATTCTCCATGTATAATACGCATTTTTTTCTAAAATATAATAAGCAAAGTCAGGGGTGCGTATTATGCACAGCTACAAAAAAATCTTTAAAAAATTGCCATAAAATAAAATAAGAATTATCATAAAACTAAATTAGAATAATATCATTCTATGTTTAAAACCATTTTTTTAATAACAGTAGGAAATGCTGGCCGTAATAAAATTGGGGAGGTACAATTTATAGGGTTTGAATACCAAACAAGGGGTGCATATTATACATGAGTAGAAGCATTTTCCCACACTTTAAGTACAATTTTAGGTGTGCATATTATGGATGAAGGGATATTATACATGGGGAATTATGGTAAGCATTATTTTTAGTGGATACCCATATTTCAGTAGAAGATCCATTTATATATTTTAACAGTATTTATTTATTAAGCATACATATGTATGAATGAGGGTACATGCATGTATACCTGTATGTTTTGTACCAAATGAGTGTATGTGTGTGTGTACATACATCACAGTTCATATATGCTGTGTGTATAGTGTGGAATGTGTAAATGTATGTATACATCATAGTTCATGTGTGTGTCAGTATGTGCTTATAGATGTCATAGAAACTGCAAATGGACTTTATCAGCTATTTTGAAATTGTGAAATAATCTTTCTCTCAAGTAACGTCCTTCAGACAAGCATGGCTCTCCACATTTTCCTCTCCTTTAATATCTGTAAATTGAACATTACAACAATTGATAGTAACAATGAACACCATCAAAAGCTTACTTTATGTTTTTTTAAATATTTTTACTACATTCACCAATCTTCTTTTATGTCTAATGTCCTTTCATGACATGAACGATTACGGCTCTCCACAACTTCTTGTCCGTTTGATACATTACCACTTTGTACCTGCTTTTGCCATACTTTCACTCAGAATGGTTAAATAGGTTACTAGCAGTTTTATTTTGCTTTCAATATGTACTGTGAGTGTTTAATTCTCTAGGTCATCTTTCCTCACTACATGTGTTAAATAATAGTCTAGCAGACTATTATTTTTAGCGGGAGGTGTATCTCAGCTCCAACTTCCGGAGGTTGACCTTCGGGGTCAGATGTAAAGCATAATATGGAAGTCGATTTTGATAGGCTGAGTTAGTATGGGAAAGATAGATAGAGATAGGTTTTCTGGAGAATTGCTTTTTAACCATCAAGTGATGTAGATATGTTCTCTTTTATATCCAAAATGGCTCTTCAGTTAGTGACTCCCACTGGATGGTTAGTACATGTTAACATTAATAAAGATGGATAAGTTAACATTCTCTGTGTTGAAGTCTTTCATTGCCAAACCAAAACAACTGGCGATCACTAGCCAACTGAAAAAGCCAAGCTGAGATCCTTCACTGCTGTCGATATGCAACACACATCCCAGAAATCTCAACTGTCTCATTCTGATTGCAGCTTTTTAGTTTCTATTTTGCTTAAAACTTCCCCATTGCTCACATGTACCATCTATATTATTCTTAGCATTTGTTGGTAGAAACACACTTTTGTCACATCAAATATATTCTTCATCCTTAAGGAGATCATCTGACATTGCTTACTATATGGGAGATTAGATATTACATAGCAGTTTTTCACTTTTTTTCTTTGTTTCTAACTGTATTTTTCTATTTCTTGATACTTTACTTAGTTTCTGAAAGGCACCTTTCATCATTCATATGTATCTTCGGATTTCGGAGTCATATTTTCTGTCGTCAATTGCAAGAGAGTTAAATTTTTGTACCTGTTTTGATTCTGATGTTCCCAATACATAGTTGACATCATGGGCTGTCTCTTTTGTTGACAATCATACATTCGGTCTTCTTACAAATAGTCCTTTCTTCTGGCTTTCCTTTACTACCTTGTCTAAGAGCTGCTGTTTGTTTTCTGTTTAATTTCGGAGTCTTCCATCAATATTGTCTCCCATATATCTTATGCTGCTAAGATGGTGTTCGGCAATAATAAATTTTGGGAGATCTTGTTCTCTTAGGATCGTCTCGCTATAAATCCAGTAGGAAAATGCATCCTTGTCTTTCTCCTCTTTTTATTTTTGTGCATTCACTGAATGTGTTCTCTATCCACATGCAGGCTATTTGTTCCCAGTAGAGATTATGGATTAATAAAATACTATTCCTATGTAAATAAAGCTTTTCTGGCATTTCAAGTAGTTCTTAATGTCTACTTTATCAAATGTTTTTGTGTAATCTATGAAACATAGGTATAGGTCTTTCTTCATTTCTGCACTAATAGAATTGTGATCATAAACATGGCATTTCTTGTCTTAAACAAAGTCACTGTGTTCTTGCTCATATAATGAATCATATATATATATATCTTTCCCATATATTTAAGTCACTCATTACAATTTCTTGGACTAACATTTTCTGCTGATATGAAGTGAAAAGAGTATATTGAATCAATTGCTACATCTGCTGCTAGGAATGTTGATTCACTGTGTCGTGTGAGAGAATTTTTCTCACCAGAATCTATCTTACATATTTATAAGTCTAACATTTGTCTTTGCTTTGAATATTGCTGTCACATCTGGTCTGGTGCTCCTGCTATATATTTAGAGATTCTTTATAAAATCCAAAGAAGAATCTACAATGTTATTGGTCCTTATTGGTCAGTCACTTTCCCATCTGTACTTTTTCTACAAATACTTTCATGGTAATTGTTCTGACAAACTTTCCTCTATGATACCTGGGCTTTATGAATTTAAGTGCTCACCATTTTATAGTTGCAAGGGCTGGATGTAATTGTAAGTTCTATGCTAATGATTTCTTCTATTGGAATTCTCTTCTTGCTTGCCAGTCAACTTTGATCTTCACAAATTTAAATGAAATATCAATCTTTATTTTCTGTCTTTTTAATTTGTGTTCTTTTATTGCTCTCTCTCTCTCTCTCTCTCTCTCTCTCTCTCTCTCTCTCTCTCTCTCTCTCTCTCTCCTTAATAGCGTTTTTTCTCATATTCTTTAACATTCAGTAAACCCTTACATCTTAGTGGCTTTATTGCCTTGCTTGGAGTGAAATGATTACAAAAAATAAATGTATGTAATTGTTTCTCTTGGTAATGATTTGTAGCTAATTCTCCTTTCATCTTAGTTAGTTATGTAAATGAATTTAAAAAAAAATTAATTAAAAAAAAAAAAAAAGTAATTCTGAGTGAAAAATAGCTATCAGTCCCTTACATCAGCGACAAGGTGACTTCCTGTTATGGTTGTCAGCCCCTGTCTAGCGTTATTTGATAGTTATCTGCCCTTGTCTCAATCCCGTGACAGACGACGTACAGGATTTTAGGAAGAAAGTCTTGTTCTTTATCAGTCTTGATACTGTTTCTTTCACTTGGTATTTTTTTTTTTTTTTAATTTAGTTACTTGACCAAGGTCCAGGTTTTCCCGGACGTAAGTTAATCTAGTTCAGAGGCTGTAATATTAAAAAATACAAACCATGGCTACTGATATTGTTGGAGACGTGGCCGCAAGAAATATCCACAAGATGGCCATCACCCGCGATTACATTTCGCAACCCAGAATCAGTAAGTATTTCTTTATTTTTCTTCCCGATTTAATTCCGATTCTATTTCTTTTACATGTAGGAATTAACTCGTAAAAGACACGTAGTCTGGCTACCTTCTTTAGAGACCTCAAAGAGTAACTATAACTAGGACATTATTTTTTTTTTCATTTATGATCGATTACTCTTTGACAAAAACTTCATAAATCGCGGGGGTGGATATGTAAATCGAAATATTTATTTGAATTTATTTTGTTTTATACGAGAAACATTAAATAACTTTTTTTTTTTCTTTACTTCTAGAATAAGTAATTGAAGTTATTATAAACGTTTAAAAGTATTTTTTTTTAGTTTTTAGTCAGTAAAAGAATATAAAATAGTTTTTTTTTTTTTACTCTACAACAGGTTAAAAATAATTGAATTTAAATTATAATTAAAAATAAAAGAAAATCGATTTTATAAAAACATTTAGGTTCGCAATTAAAATATGTATAATTCTTCCTTTTTTGAATGTTTTTAATAACTTTTTTTTTGTTTTATACACTTAGAGACTTTATGCAAGCTATTTTATTTTTTAAATATTTAAAAAATGATTTGTCAAGGAACAGACATCGATCTAATATATATATATTTTAATGATTATCACCCAATTTTTAGTCATTTTTTTATATAGGTTTTATTTTTTTAATACTATTTTTAATTTCGACAAGATACTTTTTAGAAATTTATTTTTCTTAATATATTGTAAATAAATTAAATTTATTTTGTTTCCTAGATTTATTTAATTTTTTTTTTAATATATATATTTTCATTCAAATTCTGTTATATAGAAATACAGTTCTGTGTTACCTCTCGATGTCTCTCTACCTATTCCTTCTCTCTCTCTCTCTCTCTCTCTCTCTCTCTCTCTTTCAGTGCACATATCCTTGTTTTTTTTTTTTTGGGGGTCATAATGTCTAAAATTAGTTAATAAAGCTAAGAATTAAAAAACATAATTCGCTATACTTGAAATAAATAGGTCCACTAAAAGAGGTCTTCCAAAAACCAAATATGAAAATGTGCATTTAAAAATTAGCTCACAAGAAGTTAATGATCATAGACAATATCTTTTTTTAAACGTGTATTATTAGCATTGCATTAAGTAATAAAATAATTTTAAAATCCGCATGTTTTTTAAAAACTAAAATGATTTTAAAAATGAATACATTTTTAAGTGATTTCCCACATGATATCCTAACAATTTTCTTCCAGGACAAATCTGTCCACCCACACAAAACTGTCATTATGAAATTGTATTTTTAGGAGAGTGTTTGTTTGCTAATTATTTTTGATATTGTTTAGTAAAATAATAAAATCAGCCTTGTATAATTCTTAATATTGAGGGATGCCATTTCATTTAAATGAACTTAATGGACATTAAAGAATCAATTGAGTAGGAATTGTAGACATTGTTGTTCAAATTCCACAATCATGTTTCGTTTTACTTTTACCTTTTTAAAAAGAGCACCTAAGTCGACCTAATCTTTCTCTGTCAGTCTAGCTAGAAGAACCACTTATTAAAAAAGATTATCGGTTTGTGGATCAGAAAGAATGAAATCCAAAATTAAATTGGATTATTTATATCTAATGTTTAAATGTAATGTTTGTTTTTGTTTTGTTTCTCTTTTTAATTTGAATTTAAAAAGGAAAAAAACAAAGAAACGTAAATTCAACAAATAATGTCATTGGAACGATTTTAGAAAAAAAAATCTTTTTTTTATGAAACTTGTCTAGGAAATAAAATATCTGTTTCTGTTTTGTGTGGAAACGTTCTTTTTATTCATTTGTTTAAATATTTCTGACTATAAATTAAAAACATAAAAACTAAAAAAAAAAAATTTATGATCTTGTTTTTTTAATCTCAAAAAACACTTGTTATTTGGGGGGTTACAGGGGTCAGTTTCAACAAAAGTACTCTTTCGGGTTTTTAACTTATTTTTATTTATTTATTTTTTTTGCTATTCTTACAATTCCCCAAACTTAAACTAACAAAGAAAAAAATACATGATAAAAAAAAAGATACATCCCAGCAAACTTTTACATTTATTTTTTTTACACTTTTATTTTACTTTAAGTTTTAATATTGTTATGTTATTTATTTGGAACCCTCAACTGCGATAATTTTAGATTTTCGCCAAAAAAGAAAAACCCTTAAAAAAAAAAAAAATGCTTCGATCAAGCACCCACTTGTCAGAAAATCATCAATATATTTTTTTTTTATCATTTTTATTTACTTGACATAACGACTGTGTATTGAAATACAACCTTTCTCTGTTTTCCTGCCCTCATTCTAAAAACACCATTTTTTATTAAAGGATAGGTCCTATCATACGATAAGGCATTGTCTCTATTTTTAAACATTTATGGTATTTATTTATTGTAATGTAGCAATTGTAGATTTTTATTTTTTATTTATTTTTTTTTTTTTATAAGACTCCGTTCAAGTGTTATGTTATGACGGATCAACACTCAGCCTTCCTTATTTCCAGATTGTGATTGAAACTGCCAATGGCGACTATCAGCCTCTTTTTCTATTTTTATTTTTTATTTTTTATTTTTCAAGTTTCTTATCACAACAAGGGATTTTTCAGTGCGGTCAAATTTTAAAGTCGGTTTACCGGCAACACCGTGGAAAAATTACCCGCCTCGGTAATGTCTCAGGTGCAGGGTAGCGACCCCCCCCCCAACTCCCTTCCCAAAGGAGAGGTACCACCTTGTGACGCTGTTTCCGGGACCCGAGCCAAAATAGTAATTTTCAACCCACCCCAGTTGGTACCGTGGACGTTTCATTTAACCTTTCGATCAGTATGTGACTTTATTTGCTGTACAAAAAGTTTATCCTGCTACTGAAGGTGACTCTGATCCCTGAATAATAGTGTGTTTGAATTTCATAGTTGTGTTGTCATATCCTGCTATGGCAACAGAAACGAAATTTAAGTGAAATTAGCAGTGAGGATTGAAAACGAATGCAGTGAAAATGGATGTAATGTTAATGATGCAGCGTGCGAAAGGTTAACTTAACCTTCTTAGACAGCTACAGGCTTCAGTGTTGCTATTTATTTACAGTTACAATGCTGTTGAAAAGTTCTTTATTCATCCTGGAAGAGATTTAAAAAAAAAAAAAAAAAAAAAAAACAATTTATTTGATAAGGTTTTGGAAAGTAGGTTACATGAGAATTTTTGGTGTTCTTATAGTTTTGCAACATCTAAAATTTAAATGTTATAATGAAAATTTTAAATTGAACTTTCTTTCAGTTTCTGACTTGCCTGTCAACTTCGATTTTCAAAAATTTAAGTGTAATGTCAGTCGTTATCTTCTGTCTTAATTCATGTTCTTTTTATTGTCTTCTCTCCTTAATCGTAGTTTTTCTTATATTCTCTAACACTCAGTAACCCCCTCACATCCTAATGGCTTTATTGCCTTTCTTGGGGGTGAAAGAAAAAAAAAATATATATATATATATATATATATATATTATATATTATATAATATGTTTATATTTTTTTTTAGGATAAAAAATTCAAGAGGATAGAATCCAGGTAGAACTCAATCTCCAGGACAGAGTAAGGATATAATAAAAAGCTTAAACACTAATATTCCATGGTCATAATTTATTCCATTGGAATAAATAAATAAATTCAATTCATCAGACCTACAAATTCAAAAGGAAAACAGAAAATTTGAATTTGTTGGTCTGATGAATTGGATCATATTTACGATTCCAATGGAATAAATTATGATCATGGAATATTAGTATTTAAGCCTTTTTATTATATATATATATATGGTGCAGGACAGCTCAACACCATGCAAACTACGAAGTTTTTTCATTGAATTTTTAAAAACAAATAAAAAGTAATTTATTAAGAATCATTTTTTTTTGTACTTTGCTAAAACCAAATAAAATCACTTTAAAAAATTAGTAATTAGTAAAATTAATAAAATTATTAGTAAATGGTACAGCCTAGGCTATATTTATGAAGTATTATTTTGGTTAAACAAGCCATGATTACAATTAAATGAAAAATAATAGGAAAAAGAACATGAGCCTATAAAAACTTTATTATATCCAAAGTTAAGAAAAAAAAATAAAAATCAAGCAATTATTACAATTGAGCAAAATAGTACAGTTACCATTAAAATTTTATTAATCTTCAAATCCATAAAATTCATCATCTTCATTATCAAAACTCTGATACTCATTTTCAATACTATTATCATTGTTGTTAAATAATATCTTCTAATTTTGACCGAATATCATGAATTTTAAACCTACATATGGTATACAAGACACAGGGGAATTTTTTAAGATATTTTTAGTAAAAAAATAAAAAATGTGCCAAACGTGCCGTCAAAATATAATAAATTAAATTTCATTTTTAAAACCTGTAAATGCTGCAATATCAAAACGGTTCTCCTCTTTAAGTAAGAATTTCCATTTTCAGTGTGATGAAAAGTTTGAAAATTAAACACCAATCAGCCAAATATTCTGTTGTAAGTAATAAATCACTAAGACAAACAGCCAAACTTTCAAAATCTCTACAACTCCAAGACGATCTAAGATACATGCACACTATGACAGCCAAAAATGGATGGCAGGTGTTGAGTTTTTTATGATTAAATGTTCATCTCCAAAATATATATATATATATATATATATATATATATATATATATATATATATATATATATAAATAAATAAAAAAATTGTCACTTAAAGATTGATGTTTACCCTCATGCTAAATGCTTGTGTTTTAGCATGAAACAAACTGTTGCATTGGGTGTTGACTTCAGTTTCATTTTTATTTTTCCACACTCTATCCCTGATATTGAGTATATTTTTTCCATAAAAATATAGCATACCATAAAATTTATATTTTTATCATATATAAATTCATATAAAAGGTTAATGGTCAAAGTTGAATTGCAGACCAGAAACAGTGGTTCTTGAATCTATAATACATATTTATAAAATAAGATAA